AGCTCTTTAGCTCAAGGCTAGCACTTTACCACTTGAGCCACAGTGCCACTTCTGGCTTTTTTTTTTCCTGCTTATGTGGTGCTGAGGAATCAAACCCAGGGCCTCATGCATGCAAGGCAAGCGCTCTACCACTGAGCCACCTTCCCAGCCCCATATTTTCTTTTAAAGATTTTTTATTAACATGTATCAGTTATACAGGGGGATTTCATTGTGATATTTCCATGTATAGATAGATACAAATAAAATGTCCTCTCGTCAGATTCATCTCTCTATCATTCATCCTCGTCCTCTTTTCTTAAAATGGTTTCAACGGATTTCATTGATCTATAGTTTCATATGAAGTATTTTGACCATATTACCATCACATTTTTTTTTCAGTGGGTAAATGGTTTATTCCAATGAAATACTCCACTCAAATGAAAGTAATGTACAAGGATTGATTTAATTACTCCTTAGTTTTAGAGAACAGTAAGGCATCATATCACTCACTTTTTCCATTCCTTAAAGGCTTCTGCTGGTTTTGGCACATTTACAGTGTTTCATAGCTGGGCTTTGAAGTTGTTCTAGATATGTCAGTGTGTTTATCATCCATCCACCTCATCAGTTCTTTGTATCTTTCTACAATATTTAAGGCAAGAGCACATTCCAACTTGAGCAAGTAGATAGGGCAAAGATGTACAGTATGCCAGTTAGCTTCTTCCAAGTGGTTGGAGACTTGCCCTAGGCATACAAGCCACTTGTGTCTCAGTACAAGTTTGTGTCCAGTCTCACGGGTTAAAGTCTTACAGAATCACAGCAGTGAAACACCAGTGATCTCAGGAACATAGTACTATTAAAAATGGAATAGTCACTGGAAGATACTCTTTCAGGCTTGTTCACTTTGTCCTTATAGTGTGAGCTATAGAAATCCCTGCCATACTTGGCAAAGCTGAATATCCCCCTGCCATCCATCAAAGAGGCCTATCCAAAGACTAAGTTCTTGGGGTCTCCTGGGTAACGATCAATTATGCTTATCCCCGCAACACAGAAGGAATCTTCATTCACATTACTTCTTCTTTTCTTAAACAACTTATTATTAAGGTTTTGCACAGAGAGGTTACCATTTTCCTATTTCTTCCTTTTGAAGAACTTTAGGGTATACCCTGCATGTATCTGTAGTTCTGTGTGTGATCACTGACTCAAAAGGATCACCTCAAAAAAAGATTTAAAAAACAAGTGCATGCCGGTGGCTCACGCCTATGATCTTAGCTATTCAGGAGGGTGAGATCTGAGGATCTCAGTTCAAAGCCAGTCTGAGCAGGAAAGTCCAAGAGACTCTTATCTCCAATGAATCCTCAGAAAACTGGAAATGATGCTGTGGTTCAGAGTGGTGGAGTGCTAACTTTGAGTGAAAAAGCTCAGGGACAAGCATGCCCAGGCCCTGAGTTAAAGCTCCACAACTGACCAAAGAAAATAAAAAATAAATAAATACATAAATAAAAGGAACATCTCCTGACAGAAATAGACACTGTAGGTACTGGTTTTAGGAGTTTCATTATCTGGCCATAGAAATATGCTTCATATGAGTTAGGCCCAGATTAGGCAGAGGATACATGTTTTCCCTTATATATAGAAACTAGATTTAGCATGTAAACTTATAAGTAAATATGTTGGGTGGTATGCAAGTGTATACAGATGTATTAATTGAAATATGGTAGATTCAAGGGAGATCCCAAACAGGGTAATTCCTTAGAAAGTGAGCAAAACTTTTAAAATATCAGGAAGTGGGTACTCAAAAGGAGTGGAGTGAGGACAAGGAGAAAGGGGTAGATGAATGAAGAGAAGAAAAGGGAAATGTAGCCAAGAATCCAACATATATCCTTCAAAATTAAGAAGAGTGAAGGAAGGGGTGGGTAGGTGAGATATGGGTGAGAATGTGGAAAGGGGTGACATTGATCAAAATATATTGTATTCATAAACTGCTTTGTTAAATGGCAACTCCTTTGGGTAACTACTTAAAGATAATAATAAAAAGAAACAAGTTAGCCAGGTGCTGATGGCTCACTCCTGTAATCCTAGCTACTAAGGAGGCTGACATCTGAAGATCACAGTTCAAAGCCAGCCTGTGCAGAAAAGTCCATGAGACTCTCTCTTATCTCCAATTAACCACCGGAAAACTGGAAGTGGAACAGTGGCTTAAGTGGTAGAATGCTAGCCTTGAGCAGAAGAGCTCAGAGAAAGTACCCAGGTCCTGAGTTCAAGACCCACAACCAACAACAAAAAAATAAATAAATAAAAATAAAAGAAAAAAGAAAAAAGAAGACCGGACCCCTCCAAAAAAAGAAAAAAAAAAGAAAAAAGAAAAATGCCTCACAGTAGCCCCTCAGACATTTAATATATTCTTTGCCTGATAACTCTGGTGTTTTCTAGAGATCCTATAGACTGTATATAAATAGTGCATGAGGAAGCTCAGGGTGAGAGATAATATAATGTGACTGTGATTGCAGGTAATAGGTTTAAAGAGATCAGTGGCTGGCTGGAAAGCTTCATTCATTAAGCATTTTCCCCCAGAATCTAGTTTCTCCTACTGTTCACAAGCAGTGGGTTCTTTGAGGCTGTTTTTAGTATCTGTTCAGAGTGCTGGACTACTTGCATTTCGCATTTTTATGTAGAGCTCTGATCCTTCATTTGAATGAGTCAAACAGCTCTGACATGAGGAAGCTTTCTTTATAAAGGAGGAAGATCACATTGAAGTTTGTTTTTGTTTTTAACTAGCATAATTAGGAAAGTGTGTGGAGGACTTTGGAAAGGCAGTGTGTGAGGTCAGGAGGCCCGAATGGCCAGGTCTAATAATCATGGATAAGTTCACTAGGACAGCCTTTGCCTAGGGGCCACCTTCCCAACTCCTGTAGCTGCCCCTGCACACATGTGCCCCACTGCCCTAACACCTTAAAAAAAACAGGAAATAACATTAATTATAATTAGAATCTCCCACAGAAGAAGAGTTCAAATTAAAAAAGATTTCTTATCCTTGGAGAGTCTAATATCTCTTCCTTTTATGAATCTTTGTATATAGAAGTTTCTCTAGTGAAGTTTCTTATGAGACTTTAGTTATTCTACTTGTATCCATCAGCTTAAACTATGTTTTGTTCCATTAAGGAATGATCCTAAACCCTTAATGGCTTATAAGAAAAGGTTTTGCCTCGTCTATACCCCAACTCTGCATAATTTTCATTTGGGGACTTAGGGTAAAAGATTGTTTCTTATTTGGAAAATTCTGATCATGTGGCAAAGGAGGAAAATGGTAAGCAGAAACACATGATAACCTTCAAAAACACTGTTTGGAAGTGATTTTTCAGCTTAAATGTTATTGGTTGGAGCATTACTAGGTTACTTCTAGACCAACAGGGTGGAAATAGGTCATCTTTTCACCAGGAAGTGTGCTGCAGTTCAAGTGGCTGTGCTTTTGAAGGGCCTAGGAGGTATAATCGTTCCATAGAGAACAACAATATAGTCTATAATGCTTTCAGATTGTGGCAGGTAAAAATATAAAAACCAGGGCTCTGTTCCTCTAATATTGGCCCCTCAGAAAGTTAACTGATCCCTTCATATAGCCCCCTTTCCTTATTCATTCACTCTTTTGCTCAGCTTTCAGAAGACGCCTTTTAGCTCTTCTCTCAATCCCATTTATATTTACCTTCCTTAAAGTAATGCTTAATAAATTCTCCTGTTTTTCTTATATCCTCAATTATTCTACCATACTCCATCTGCACTCTAATTTCCCAAGGTGTCAAATTCTTTCCTTATATACTCAAACATTCTTAGGTCTTTCTTCCAAATGTCTTGGCATATGGTTCTGCCTTCAAATGACTTTATTTCCCCTCTTTTCACTATGAAATGCTCCAGGTCTGTGGTCTATGACACATAATCATGTCCATTTTCTCCTCCATTTTTACAGTCAGATTCCACAGAAGTCTTCATCACCACTGTTTACCTTCCAGTACATACTTCACTAGTTTTGATTAGCCGGAGGCTCTTGAACATCTAAATAACACCATTTCAGTGGTTTGTCCTCTGCCTCTAAATGCTTCATTACTATTTACTCACCAACTTCCACTCCTTTTCACTCTATTGAAGTGCCCCTGAGGTTGTGTCTTCCACTATCCATTCCTGTTTTCTATTATATTCCCATCAAATAGATAATTTATTATGCAACTACAGCTACTTATCCAACTCTGATGATTTTAAATGGACATCTCCAATTCCTTTGTCTATATTCCTATTTAACTTCTTGTTTTTTGGGTTTTTGTGGGGGGAAGGTCTGGTCGTGGGCCTGAACTCTGGGCCTGGGCGCTGTCCCTCAGCTCTTCAGCTCAAGGCTTGCGCTCTACCACTTGAGCCACAATGCCACTTCTGGCTTTTTTCTTTTTGCTTATGTGGTGCTGGGGAATCGAACCCAGGGCCTCAGGCATGCAAGGCAAGTGTTCTACCACTGAGCCACCTTCCCAGCCCCCTATTTAACTTCTTATAGAAAAGTTTGTCTTAAGGCATCAGAAATTGCAAGTCTTATCTTTAGAGTTCCTTTTACCTTCCCTTCTTTTTTAAAAAAATCAGAATTTATTCTGATAACTGCAGGACTGTAGGCATGGCTCAACAATAAGAGCACCTGCTTCTCATGTGCAGTGCCCTGAGTTCAAACCCCAATACCATCCCTCCCATAAAAAGCACTAACTATAATCCTAACCTCTTTTAACTTGTTATTCCTTACTTGCTGCTACTTATATTTCTGTCCCAGCCTACAAGGTTATATTTTCAAGCATCCAAAGCTGTTTCTCATCACTATTATCAATTTTCTTTTCTTTATTTTATTGTAGCATTTCCCCTTCAAGTCCAGGAAGATAGAGACATTTGCTATTGATATATATTTCACTTTGAGATATGAGAGTTGAATAAAGATTCAACCCTACAACCAGACATTTCCTTGTGAAACTTACAAAGATATTAAATGAGAGTCTAGAAATTCACAAGAATCTCATTGAATTTCATTTTAGAAGAAGTCCAGCAAGATGATGACCAGCCAGAGAATACCCAGAAATCTCAAAAGGAGCTCATTGGGAAAGTTACATTCAAGAAGAAAACTCCAAATAAGAAAAAAAGCAATGAAGAAAGTGGTTCATTGGGGGAAAAGAATAATGTGAGTACAAAACATGCACAATCAAAAAAAAGACTTCTTAAATTTGATTCACATGAAAAAAGTTTGAAACAGAATTTAGATTCACCTGATGAGATGAAAAAAAATGCAAAAAAGAAACCTGATACAGTTAAAGAACATGAGAAATCATTCAGGCATGGCTTCTCTGATACAAAGAAAGACAAAAAGGAAGTCGGAAAGAAATGTGAGAAATTATCCAACCATAATTTGTCTGGTAAGTGTGACAAAACTCAAATTGGCAAGAAAAGTGACAAATTATGCCATCCTAGCTCATCCCCTGCTAAGCAAGACAAAATTAAAACTGGAGAAAAACGTAATAAATCATCCAGCCATAGTTCATCTACTAAGCCTGGCAAAACGGAAGCTTCTGTGAAACCCTATGAATGTAATCAATGTGGGAAAGTTCTTAGCCATAAACAAGGACTCATTGACCACCAGAGAATTCATACTGGGGAGAAGCCTTATGAGTGTAACGAATGTGGGATAGCCTTTAGCCAAAAGTCCCACCTCATTGTACATCAGAGAACTCACACGGGAGAAAAACCGTATGAATGTACTCAGTGTGGCAAAGCCCATGGTCATAAACATGCCCTCACTGACCACTTAAGAATTCATACTGGAGAAAAGCCCTATGAATGTACTGAATGTGGGAAAACCTTCAGACATAGCTCAAACCTTATTCAACATGTGAGATCTCATACAGGCGAGAAGCCTTATGAGTGCAAGGAATGTGGGAAATCCTTCAGGTATAATTCGTCTCTTACTGAGCATGTGAGAACTCATACAGGTGAAATACCATATGAATGTAATGAATGTGGCAAAGCCTTTAAGTACAGCTCATCCCTGACTAAGCATATGCGAATTCATACTGGCGAGAAACCCTTTGAATGTAATGAATGTGGGAAGACATTCAGCAAGAAGTCACACCTCCTTATACATCAGCGAACTCATACAAAGGAGAAACCTTATAAATGTGATGAATGTGGGAAAGCCTTTGGACATAGTTCATCTCTTACATATCATTTGAGAACACATACAGGTGAAAGTCCCTTTGAATGTAGTCAGTGTGGGAAGGCCTTTAAACAAATTGAAGGCCTTACTCAACACCAGAGAGTTCATACTGGGGAGAAACCCTTTGAATGTAATGATTGTGGCAAAGCTTTTAGCCAAAAGGCACACCTTATTGTACATCAGAGAACTCATACAGGGGAGAAACCTTTTGAATGTAATGAATGTGGAAAAGCATTCAATGCAAAGTCACAACTTGTTATACATCAGAGATCCCACACTGGAGAGAAACCCTATGAATGTAGTAAATGTGGGAAAGCTTTTAAACAAAATATATCCCTTACAAAACATATGAAAACTCATTCAGAAGAGAAATCTTATGAATCAAGTTAATGCAGGAAAGTATTTTTGCGTTTTTATTAGCATATCTTAGTTGTAAGTGGGGGTTTACTGTGATATTCTTGTACATTCATATAGTATACCCCAGTCAAACTCACCTCCTTCGTAGTGCCTCTTCTCTCCCACTTCTTAAAACAATTCCAATAAGTTACAGTGTTCTATTTTCATACATGTATATAAAGTACTTGGATGATTAGCCCTTCATATGAGAAATTTGATAGCTGAACTGATGGTTTTATTTAACCTTAGAGATAGTCTGAACTTGAAAAATGTTAGAAAACCTTTAGACATTGCCTTGTTCTACATGAGAGAATTCGAATACAGATCTTACATAGAAGTAACGGATGGAAATGAGAGATTAGCTTGATATCACACTCCAACCAAAAAAATACTTTTATGATTCTCAACTGTTGTACATGAGCTAGATGTTAAGATTAAAACATATTTTAAAAGCCCTAAAAAACATAAAAAGATTAAAACATAAAGTTCAAATTGTGAATCATTTGAATAATCAGAGCATTGAAGGAACAGGTTAACTGTGCCAACAGTTCCTAAGTTGTTTGGATTCTGTGTATTTATATACCATATATTAGAATTGCATTTGCCTATCTAGTAATTACCATGCAAACACATGCACTCATCGCCATTAAAGATGTTATCAAGTAGCGCTTAATGTGTATCCAAGTTTATAAACAAATAAAAAGGTTTATAAAAGGCTTTTCATTTATCTCAAAATTATTAACATGAAATTAAATAATAGGAGAAATGCGGCTGAGCATAGAAATACACAGGAAATGACATCCAAGATACACTGTTACTAAAAAGTAGATTGTGGAACCATGATCATTGTTGTGTAATAATAGGTATGTGTGTATTTCTCTGTGTTTCTCCTTGTGCGTGTATGTATGCATATATGTTTATATATTTGTCTGTGAATTCATTTTGTTTTTAAAACAATCCAGAAGAAACTTATTAACAGTTGCCATTAAGTGTAGGAATACAGGATTGGGGAGTCTGAGCTGGGAGTAAGACCTTTTATGTATACTGCTTGAAGTTTGTATCATGTACTTGTATTATTTTCACAGTTACATTTTTTTGGGTCAATTTTGGTCAGTTTTTTTGGTCAAGGCTTGGCTGCTGTCCCTGAGCTTTTGTGCTCAAGGCTAGTACTCTGCTATTTTGAGCCATAGCACCACTTCTGAATTTCTGGTAGTTACTTGGAGATAAGAGTCTCACAGACTCTTTCTTGCCTGGGCTGGCTTTGAACCGTGATCTTTGCTTCTCAGCCTCCTGAGTGGCTAGGATTAAGGTGTGAGCCACTGGCACTCAGCCTCCCCCCTCCAAAAAAATGCAGGGCTGGGTGCTGGCATCTCATGCCTACAATCCTGACTACTTAGGAGAGGGACATCTGATAATACTAGTTTGAAGCCATCCTGGGCAGGAAAATCCATGAAACTTTTATTTCCAATAAACTACTTAGAAAAAGCCAAAAGTAGTGTTGTGGCTCAGGTGGCACAACACTAGCCTTGACCAAAAGAAGCTCAGAGATGGCACCAAGCTATGAGTTCAAGCCTCAGGACTGGAAAAAGGGGGCTGGGCCATGATTCATGTAGAAGAGTACTTAAATAGCTTGTAGGAGACTCTGTTCAACACCCACCCTCACCTTCTACACTGATACAGTTCAACTCTGGGGGGGGGCGCAGTAAGTGGGAACCCTGCTCCCTTCTGAGTCGTCCTCTTTACCACTATGAACTTCACTGGTGTCCTGAACTACTGATGGGAAATGTAGTGATGGATTCTGCTTCTGTTACCCACAGATGAGCTGAATAAATCCACACCTCAACAGTTGGAGGGATGCTGGAGACTTTTCTGGATCTGGTTCACCCAGTATGAAGGCCATGTGAACACACAGGAGAAGGTGTCCATATACAATCCAAAGAGAGAGATCTCAGAAGATCTCAGACTTCCAGTGCTGTGAAATTTAAACTGCTGACAGCAGAGCTTTTGTGAGGGCAACCCTAGCTAATAAACAAAGCCCCCTTACCAGTCCCTCTGCTGTCCATGCTCCAGCAACACAGGTTTCCTTTTGGTCCTTGAACTTTCTCTAGGCCTGCTTGCTGCTAGCTTCTGCATATCTCCTCTTCCCTCTTCTTGGAAGGCCCTTTGCTTATCACCTGATTGTTTCATAATCTTCCTTCTCCTTTCAGTCTCTTCCACTTTTATTCATTCTACTAATATTTACTCAGTGATGGCCATACGCCTGGTCAAAAAAACCCACAAAACAACCCAAATTCTGAGCATGCATCTGTGAATAGGCATTGTCCCTGCCCTCAGAAGGCTGACAGATTTTCATAATTGGGGCCTTCAGTGAAACCTCCTTGTATTACTATGTCCTATGACACTTGTCCAGTGGCAATGCATTTATCTGAACTGCTCTAAGCTTCCTATTAGACTTTGGTGACTATTGTGTCAAGTTCATCACTTCAAGAGCAAGTGGAGAGTGGGGCACCAGTGGCTCATGCGTGTAATCCTAGCTACTCAGGAGGCAGAGATCTGAGGATCATGGTTCAAAGCCACCCGGATAGAAAAATCTGAGACTCTCATCTCCAATTCATCACCTGACTACCAGAAGTGGTGCTGTGGCTAAAAGTTATAGAGCTCTAGCCTTGAGCTGAAGAGCTCTGGGACAGGGCCCAGGACCAAAGTTCAAGCCCCATGACTAACAGAAAAAAAAGAACAAGTGAAGAGAATGCAGGTTGTTTGGAGCAGACTCAGAACAAGGCTAGTTGACCTCATACTTTCTCCTGGAATGCTATGGCTTACTTCCTTTGCTGCTCTGGGCAGTAGAATGCTTGTATTATTCTTGATGAATGTACTGTAGCCTTTAATGACCCTGTGGTTCTTTGTACCAGGCCTGGGTACTGAGTAATGACTAGCTGATTCCCAAGAAAGGTGCTCTGGAGCAATCTGTGATTTAAAAAGTATCTGATCAGTGTGGCAGGCAGCAGCAAAAAGCAAGAGCTAGCCTTCAGACAGGAGCAGGTCAACAGAAGGGGATGATATTTTAGGCATGTAATTAATTGTTTAGGGAACTATTAAAGAGTTAGAAACAAAATGTACATTCTTTAACCAAAACAGGTTTCAGAAGCACTGCTGCCTATCTGACATACTTTGAAGAAAGAAGCATTGATTTGTTGTCAGAAGGGGAAGTTTTTCAAGGCTCACATGGTATCATGCAGTGTTTCTCAATGCAGGTTTTATAGACATGTTATATGACATAGACCCTTCCACTTTTGGCGACCAGCCTTGGCTTTGCACAAGCTTTCTTGTCTCAGGATCCTGGAGGCCAGATATCTGTAGTGTTCTCCAGTTTCTCAAATTAACAAAAGATGTTCCCTCCGCCCCATTTCAGAACCAGTCTTCTCATTTTCTCATGACCACACTGAGGCCCAGAGAAAGGAAGGAACTTACCTAAGACACAGACAAGACAGGATCTAACCTCAAAAGAAGAGTGGGACAGTTGAAGGAAATCATATTTATTGGGAAGCTATTACATTTTATTTATTTATTTTTTGTTTGTTTTTTTAATTTAATTTAATTTTATTTTATTTGTGAACATACTGTACAGAGGGGTTACAATTGCATGGGCAGGATAATGCGTACATTTCTTACCAAGCATTGCCTCCTCTGTTTACCCTTCACATCCCTTCCCAGCCTCCCCCCTCCCTGCTATTACATTTTAGTATCATCTAAACCCACCTTTCCTTCCTTCCTTCCTTCCTTCCTTCCTTCTTCCTTCCTTCTTCTCTTCCAAATGGGACTTGAACTGAGAGCCTAGCACTCTCACTCGGCTTTTTGCTAAGGTTAGCATATTATGTAACATTACCTGAAAATTCCCTCTGGCATTCTTAATTAATGATGTGTTCAATTATTGAAGAGGGTGATTGGGGACAAGGTCACTAATTCCATTTCCAATGCGCCAGTGAGTTTTTGTTAGGTCATCTGGCTAAAAGTGGACTGTTGGGGCATGTAAGCATTCCATAAATCTCTTCTCCACACTAGCCAGTCATATCTCAACAACCTGGTATAGACTATTACCCACCCTTACTTTGAATCACTTATAAGATGCTGCATAAATCACATAGACTGTATAGTTGGATCAAAAAGTAGGATCCATCTATCTCCATCTGCTGTCTTCAAGAGATGCACCTTCCCCACAAAAACAAATATATTCTGAAAGTGAAAGGCTGGAATAAAATCTACCAAGCAAATGGCCCCCACAAACAGACTGGAGTAGCAATCTTAATATCAGATAAAATAGACTTCAAATTAAAATTAGTGAGAAGAGATAAAGAAGGACAAGGATCTCTAGGGGCTGGGAAGGTGGCTCAGTGGTAGAGTGCTTGCCTTGCATGCATGAGGCCCTGGGTTTGATTCCTCAGCACCACATAAGCAAAAAGAAAAAAAGCCGGAAGTGGTGCTGTGGCTCAAGTGGTAGAGTGCTAGCCTTGACCTGAAGAGCTGAGGGATAGTACCCAGGCCCAGAGTTCAGGCATTCTAAATATCTATTCAGCAAATACTGGAACACTCAAATTTATCCAAGAAACACTACTTTCTCTAAAATCACCCATAGATCTAAAGACATTGATTGTTGGTGACTTTAACACCACTTTCCCCATTGGATAGATCAACCTGGCAAAAACTCAACAGAGAAACCTCAGATCTAAACAACTGCATAGACCAACTAGACTTAACAGACATCTATAGAATATTTCACCCATCAGCAACAGAATACATGTTTTTCTCAGAAGCACATGAAACATTCTCCAAAATAGACTACATGTTAGGTCACAAAGCAAATTGGTCCAAATACAAAAACATTGAAATTATGCCCTGCATTCTCTCAGACCACAGGGGAATAAAATTAGAATACAACTATCTTCTATAATGCCTTCAAAAGAGAACTTACTCTAATACTCCTCAAACTCTTCAATGAAATAGAAAGGGAACCCATTCTATGAAGCCAGAATAACCCTGAGCCCAAAACTATATAAGGACTCATCAAAGAAAGGGAATTATAGATCTATCTCTTATTAAACCTCAATGCAAAACTTCTCAATAAAATTCTGGCCAAGTGAATTCAACAACTAGCCAAAAAAATAATACACTACGATCAAATGGGTCATCCCAGGGTAGCAAGGCTGGGTTAATATATGCAAGTCAAATTGTGTAATTCAACACATCAAGGAAAGCAACTACATGATCATCTCAACACCCCTTTATGACAAAAGCTCTGGAGAAGCTAGGAATCTATGGAACATTCCTCAATATAACAAAAGTTGCATATGGCAAATGTACAGCTAGCATCATGCTTACTGGTGAAAAGGTAAAACCATTTCCTCTAAACTCAGCAACAAGACAAGGATGTCTACTCTTTCTACTCCTCTGCAATATAGTACTGGAATTCCTAGCAAGAGCAATAAGACAAGAGACAAATATAAAAGGGATCCAAGTAGTTATAAAACCACAATGTAATTGTAACCCCTCTGTATAGTATTTTCACAATAAAAAATAAATAAAAATTAAAAAAAGAAATAAAACTACCTTCATTGCAGATGACATGATGCTTTAAAGAACCCTATAGATTCTACCAAGTTACCTGAGCTGAACTAAAACATCGGCAAAATAGCACAGTATAAAATTAGCCCATAAAAATCA